TTTGTCTGTCTTTTTACCGTTGAATCCTATTAATGAGATCTTCAACTTTCGTTTAGACCTCGTTAGCTAATTCTCATTCTATCTCGGATTTACAAAACTGTATCGAATTCGTCGCGCTCGAAAAGTAGGGACTAAGCTTCGTCTATAACTTTCGCATACGAGCTCCATTTTTGTCTGTCTTTTTACCGTTGAGTTCCTATTATTGAGATATTTAACTCTCATTTAGGTCGCGTAAGCCAAAAACCGCTCGAACTAAAATTCGAGTTTCGGGCTGTACACTACTAAGCTGAAACTTTGAAAAATCATCACTTCCTCATACGAAGTCAGATTTGGGCGTTCTTTTTACGGATTTTCTCATTTTAACATACTCTACGACTTTGGTTTAGATAACTAAGGCTAAAAAGTCTTCTATCATAAATTCACTTTTTACGCTTCCCGGTGCCGTGCCATTTTTGCCGTAAAACTTCGACGGGCCATAACTTCTTCGTTATAACTCAGATTTCGGCGTTCTTTATATGTACGGAAACCTTGTGACATATAATATAACTTGGTTAAAATTATTTATTCTAAATAATCTTTTTCCGAAAACTCGTTTTCGACCCATATTGCCTCTAAATTGACTTGCCCGGATCTACGGGCGTTACAATTATCTCCCCCTTAGGATGATTACGTCCCGGAATCATCAACGAAACAGGGCTCGTATAATGACTCCATACGTCATCTCTTCATCCTAGGTGATAATTATAACTTCTATATTCCTTCAAGTCTATCTCTTAGACTCATTGACTGTAAGCAGTACTCGATCGTGCACCTGCTCTCTACCTCAGGCTAGACTTCAAATTATTACCTATCATCATGTGATGCACGTTTAGACTTAGGTCTCTTAGAGTTAAATTCTAAAATAGACTATGCCTTCCTTCATGTTCTAATGTGATATAATCACACTTTAACATGTAGCGTTTCTGGCTACCAACTTCTTTAACAACGAACGCGATACTTCTATTGATCGCTTTGATTTCAATTGTTTGGTTTTTGTCGGACGCTACATCGAACTTGGTTCCCTGAACCACGCAACATACTCATCGTAGTCGGACTCAATTCGGTACGACCACTAGGGTCGGAAATTAACAATATTTTAGTCATTATCGAAACGATGGTAATGACATACTTGAAAAAAAAAACAGAATCAGTTACTAGCTTCTTGGTAATCCTTGTGACTTTCCCTGATCCAAGTGTGAGTCCTGTGCTTCCGGTAGTATAGGCCTCTACTACCATTCACACCTACTCATACTCGTCCCAAGTATCGTCTCGCAGTTTCCCAAGTCACCATGCAGCAAATCACACAACAATTTCACACACCAGATAACAAAATGAAGATTTCATTATTTCTCGAAACTATTACATAGGTGTTCAAGTTCACCCTAGACTATGCCTCTACTAGGCTACATCGTACGAAACTATGGCTACTGCATAATCCGATCTTCGGGTAAGAAGTCCTCATTCTTGATTCCTTGCATGGTTCTCTGCCTCGTCAAGGATCATGTGAAATGCCCTCGGCCTTGGTGGCGTTTCTGGTCTTGCTGCTTTATTTTTTCCTTGGGCAGTCTCTGGACATGTGCCCCTTGCCTCCACATCCGTAACATACTTTGTCATTATGCGTGCAGTCTTTGGAATAGTGACCAGTCCTCCCACACTTGTAACAAGTCACTTCTTCGTTGCACTTTCCACCATGCTTCTTCTTGCATCTATCACACCATCTTACTTCACCTCCATCTGCTCCTCCAAGCTTTGAGAATTTTCTTTCCTTGTTCGGCCTCGAAGATCCTTCAAACTTCCGCTTCTCTCCTACCTTATCTTTTTCTAGACCTTTTTCTCTTATCTGGGCCTCTACGTTCTTAGCTGCCCTAACAGCTGCTTTCAAAGTAGTTGCCATTTTGACCATTGGGCCAAAGTCAATGGGCAATCCTTTTAGCAAACCTATCAATCTTGGAGAGTTCAGTAGGCACCAAGTAGGGGAATAGCTTCATCCTTTCGGTGAATGTGGTGGCATACTCGTCAATACTCATCTTCTCTTTCTTCAGGTTCTGAAACTCGTTGTTTAGGTCTATCAGATCTACCTCCGAGTAGTACTGCATTTTCAACTGCTCCAAAAACTCTTCCCACGACATCCTTAAGGCTTCTCCTCATGGCATCGTATCTGCCAATAGCTTCCACCAGCTCAAGACTCCAGCTTTCAGCTGTCTTACTGCGAAGACAGTCTTCTGTTTCTCATTACAGCTGCAGCTCTCAAACACCATCTCCATCTCAGAGATCCAATCCATAATCTCAACCGGCTTCGGGCTTCCTGAGAGACTTGGGGGTTTCGCACCCAAGAAATTCTTGTATATCCGCCCATCCTTGTTGTTTCTCCCTTCAGGGCCATCCCTTTGCTCACCTTGAGTCCCTACTTGACTCACTTGGCGGCTGTAGTTCCCTTCCTTTGATTGCTCGGGAACTGGCTCTGTCGGTTCAACATGTACGGTAGGTTCGTCCCTATTCAACATTTGTCTCATTTCTTCCCTTTGTTCATCCAACATAGCCCGAATCATGGCTTGAACTCCATCCCTGGTGACTGGATCAGGCGCAACTTCTTCTACAACAGGTATTTGCTGAACCACTGGGGGTTGGTTCCTGTTCCCATTTGCGTTTACGTTTCCGCTACGGGTTCTTGCCATCTTGATCTATACACCGAATAAGGTGAATCTAGATCTTAATTAAGGATTGACGTCTTAAATCATCCTTATCACCCCGAAACGTTTATATGCTAGTTCTAATATCGTAGTTAAACGCTTAGAATCCTAAACATATAAGGCTTCCAGATCCGGTCGGCAACAGACCATAGATCCGAACAAATAACAACATATCATGCACAAAGCATTTAGCACATAAAAGCAATTTAGGCATCATTCCTAAAATAAGCTAGTGCTCACACCTGACAATCATCGCTTAGCATTCTAAGTTTAAGTCTAGAAATAAATCCATATTCCTAGTTCGCTTAAAAATACCGATTTTTGTTTATGCTTTTTAAAAATCAGAGTACTTCATTTTATAAAAAGGTTGCGGAATTTGTTCCCAAAAAAACACGATAAATACGTTATTAAAACATTTTCGAAGAAACGTATTTTTATTCATCTTAAAACGTTTGGGATGTCATCGTTAATACAGAAACATAAGCATAAACAGAACTTACATTTATTTACACTAGTGATCTACATCTCTTTAAATCTCTCAGTGTAAAGTGACTTCATATCAACACCTGTGATATACATAAACTGAGTGGGTCAGGTTGGGAAACCTGGTGAGTACATAGGGTTTTCAACCCACAATAATATAATTGTTATGTTTAATCATCAAACAATTAACCCCATTACCCATCCCCGTTATCTTCTTTACTCTTAAGGATTTAACCTAAGAGTCGTCTATCCTGCATTTGTTTATTCCGAAGTCCCTTACTTCCAGGGTTATAGGACTGGCACTAAATCCATAGCTGTCGATGTTAGTTCGTAAAGCACTAATTCCATAGCTGCTATATCTTACTCATCGGGTACTAAATCCATAGCTACCAGCGTTCAAAAGGTACTAAGTCCATAGCTACCAATTCCTACAGGTACTAAATCCATAGCTACCAGTGTCTAACTAATAGGTACTAAGTCCATAGCTACCAATTTCTAACAGGTACTAAATCCATAGCTACCAACGTTTGACATGTACTAAGTCCATAGCTACCGGTGTTTATCCCATAGGCACTAAGTCTATAGCTGCCAATGTATACTCACGTCATCTTCTATCTCTCATCATCTATCTACCCATCATCATACCCCACATATTCGTATATATAAAATACGTATACAGTTTAAATCCTTTAAAACATGTATAAAACGTTCATCCAACATAGACAGCAAGTATTCAGATAATATGCACACATAGCACGTAGTTTATATTAAATACTTCATATCTATGTGTAAGATGAAAGGGACTATGCACTCACAACACGTAAATTATATAATAAATACTTCATATCTGTGTGTAAGATGAAAGGGACCATGAACTCACCTGATTAGGTGGTGATTCCGAACCCGGACAGCGCTTCGATACTCTCAAAACGATATTTCTTCGATAAAACAATGGGTTTTTATTAAAAACCGGGCTTCGTTGGAGCAGCGTTTCCGAGCCAAAAGCTTTTCTTCTCGGAGCCGTCGGGCGCTCCGGGGCTTTCTTCTCGTGATAGGGAGGTTCCGTAGACTTGGGAGGGGTTTAGGGAGGCTAGAGAGAAGTTAGAGAGAGAAAGAGAGGCTTATGGTGTGAAGAAAATATGAGGAGTTCACCCTTGTATTTATAGGAGTTTTATAGTAAAGTAGCCTCTAAGCTTCGTCCGTAACTTTTGCATACGAGCTCCGTTTTTGTCTGTCTTTTTACCATTGAGATCCTATTAATGAGATCTTCAACTTTCGTTTAGACCTCGTTAGCTAATTCTCATTCTATCTCGGATTAACAAAACTGTATCGAATTCGCCGTGCTCGAAAAGTAGGAACTAAGCTTCGTCCATAACTTTCGCATACGAGCTCCATTTTTGTCTGTATTTTTACCGTTGAGTTCCTATTATTGAGATCTTTAACTCTCATTTAGGTCGCGTAAGCCAAAAACCGCTCGAACTAAAATTCGAGTTTCGGGCTGTACACTACTAAGCTGAAACTTTGAAAAATCATCACTTCCTCATACGAAGTCAGATTTGGGCGTTCTTTTTACAGATTTTCTCATTTTAACATACTCTACGACTTTGGTTTAGATAACTAAGGCTAAAAAGTCTTCTATCATAAATTCACTTTTTACGCTTCCCGGTGCCGTGCCGGTTTTGCCGTAAAACTTCGACGGGCCATAACTTCTTCGTTATAACTCAGATTTCGGCGTTCTTTATATGTATGGAAACCTTGTGACATATACTATAACTTGGTTAAAATTATTTATTCTAAATAATCTTTTGCCGAAAACTCGTTTTCGACCCATATTGCCTCTAAATTGACTTGCCCGGATCTACGGGCGTTACATGTACCCAAAGGGGATGCAAAAGAAACTGGACCAGCATCAATAACATCAACATTTGGAATAGCACACTCTAGACCAGCACTTGGTTTTCCCAAAATAACTCTATCCTTAATCTTTTTCTTTGTCATCCATTCAGAAGAAATTTGTCTTTGAGATGACTTCGTGGAACTGTCATAATCTTGACTAAATCCAAGACTAAAACTTGGAACAATATCATTTTTCAATGATCGAGTCTTATTTGAATCCTTGTTTTTATTTGAACAATCTTCAGCATTTTCTACCCAATAAAATTATAAAAATCATATATGAATAAACAATAATTATAAACACAATTATATGTGAGTAAACAATAATTATAAACAAATTACCTCTATCTTTATTTTTATTTGAATAATCTTCAACATCTTCACCTTCTCCATCCTTCTTTGCTACAATAACTTTATCAACAGTATGATCTGAAATAACTTTATTCTTATGATCATCCTCACCCAAACTTACAGTCCCTAAATTATTGAAATCATAAATGAATCATCTATATAACATATATATATATAATATATATATATATATATATATATATATATATATATATATATTATGGATTAAAAATACAAAAATAAATACTTACCATCATCAATACTAGTCAAATTCAAATTCACATCATCTTCAACTAGTTTCTGATTTAAACAACCATCAGTACCTATAAAATTCAAATATAAAAAAATTAAAATCATATATGATTAAACTATATATAATAATAAAATATGCCTACCTTGATCCAAAGTTTTAAGAAAACTTTCAACAACTGGATTGCAAAGAAATTGACTAAAAGATACACCTTCCTGACTATCAATTAGACCCACACTCATAGTAACATTTTCGACAACAGAATTTAAATTCATGGCCTCTTCTTTATTACATCCACTTCCATTTCCTTGTTCATCATCTTCATCATCATCACCTTTACCTTCAACATGATTTTTACCAATATTGCCCTCATGTGGACCACTTCCATCCCCCTGACCACCAGAACATTTCCCTTGATCATAATCTTCAACATTTTCATCATCATTAAGAAAATCATTCCCATAATCTTCATTATTAACTTGAACAAAACTAGGTGTTAATATCGGTTCTTTATATTTTTGTGAAACATAATGGAAATCAAAACTTTTTGTATTTAAATCTTCAACAGGAAATAATAATTTCCAATTTTTCAAATTGTGACTTTGAGGAAACTTCAACACTCCCTCATCTATCTTTACAACAAGATCCTTTTTCAAATCCTTCATCTTCTGATACATACATGAAATTGTACTTTCATACACCTACATAAGAAAAAAGATACTTACAACTAAAATAAAACTAATTAAATAATAAATGAATAAAACTATAGAATTACCTCCACATCACTAACTTTATTAACATCAAAATCTTCTTTATCCTCATCACATAAATCCTCTTCACCATCAGATTCAATCTCATCACCACCAGATTCCTCCTCATTATACTCAGATTCTTGAAATTCTTCTTCAACATATGCTTCATTAACATGTCCACATCCAAATCCTCCACTCTATTGTAAGATATCCTCAAGAAACCTTATCTTCTCTGGCGTCCAATAAAAAATAGTACGTCAAGAAACCTTACCTTCAAAGATTCAAAATTAAAATGATCAAGAACATAATAAACAATCTTCAACAGTACGTCAATCATCTTCATCCCTAACAAACTCCCAAATCCCATAGTCCTAACACAATCCTTCTGTTCTCTACTTAAACCTTGAATAACACCCAACAATGACTTGGGTGAACATCTATTCTTCAATGAAGGAAATTCTTTTATAACAACAATTTTTTTTTATCTTTCTTCAAAACTTTAGTTTCTCTCTTTGGTTTTTTTGAAGATTCAGGACGACTCCGAAAATCTGAATCATCTTCATCAGATAGTTCACGTTTCTTACTTACAGTTTTGACCTTAACCCTCAGCTTCACTTTTGGTTGTTTAATAACTGTTTTTTTTATGTCTTTGAACATGTTTGCGACACCTCATTCACATTTTCTCTTTTGGAAGACGACCGTGTCTTCCTTGAGCTATCTACATTCCCTTTTTTCAACTACAATTTTCATTACAAACATAGTGTTAGTAAAAAATAAAACATACATTTATCATTACTATTACTAATGATTATAAACAGACAAACATAGTGTTAGTAAAAATAAAGCATACAATTATCATTACTATTACTAATGATTATAAACAGACGTATAAAATCATTTATGATTAGAACAATAAATAAAAATACAACTAAATGTTATATGCAATCCACTTAAAAGAACCACAAAATCAGTTGTGATTACAAAACTAACTTTTTATTCATGTTTGATATATAAAAATACATTTATCATTACTATTTACCAATGATTATAAACAACGTATAAAATAATCTATGATTAGAAGTAGAAATAAACATATAACTAAATGTTATGTCCAATACACTGAAAAAAATCAAAAAATCAGTTATGATTACAACAAATAACTTCAAACATTAAGTTATATGTTTATTTCTACTTCTAATCACAAATGATTTTTTGAACTGTACCTTCGGAAATAACAACACTTCTACTGCATTCGATATTTTTTTGATTTTTGAATTTTTTTTAACGTAGTTTATTTTGAAATCCTTATCTGTGAAAATATAAACAAAAACTTACATCAAAAACCACCACAAACAAACATAATAAAAAACATATCAACTCTAAATGAGACAATCATCAAAATCAAGTTAAAATGACGAAAAACCTACTAAATCAACAAAAAACACACACACACACACACACCCTTATCAACATAAAACGACAACTAATTAATAAAAACATGCATTATCAATAAAATGAAAAATAACTCGCATTTTAACCTTTCATTTCGATTAACGAAGATGCAACTTCATTTATATTTTCTACTGAAGACAATTATTGATTTCTCAATAACAGGTAAGAAACGAAAAATATGGCAAAATGCGATAAAGAAAGAAAAAGAGGGTTTCCTGAGAGTTTGAAATGAAACTTTGATTGATAAATAAAAGAAAACAATAGGCGATTACAGTATCGTAATCTGCAAAATTCATATCAATCTTTGTAAAATTACGATAATAGCCCCACAATCGTAAATTAACAGTGTTAGTCTAATAAGTTACCAATATAATTACAAATATGTCACGCATAGTTTCAGAAACAAACATAAGCACATCAAACAGTTATACATAATATCTCACAAAATATATATATATATATATATATATATATATATATATATATATATATATATATATATATATATATATATATATATATATATAGGAAAAGTGAATATACCCTTAAGGGTATATAAGCTTAGGTACCCGAACTCACCATACTACATCGTTTTGTATCATATATAGACGTTGTAATTATCCAATGTTCTTATAATTCAACTTCTAACTTGAATTACTTTAAAGATTTTTATAAATTTTATATTTATCTTACTCTTACATAATTGTCATTTTCAACAATAATATATATAGCCTAGGAAGTGTTCGACAAAAAGATGTGATGTAAGAGGAAGATAATAGTGAAAATTTAAAAATACTAAATATAAATCAAGTTAATGATTGAAGTTTAACAATATTATAATGAATATATCAAACAAAACGACGTATTATTATGATTATTATGAGTTTGGGTACCTAAGCTTATATATCTTTAAGGGTATATTCACTTTTTCATATATATATATATATATATATATATATATATATATATATATATATATATATATATATATATATATATATATATATATATATATATATATATAATATATATATATATATATATATATATATATATATGAAAAGATACTCGTTTTAACATAATTTGCATCCAACTCATCTATCGAATATACTGACACATATGCATAAATTGGTTTTTCAAATATTAAATTTTAAAATATACGAATACTAAATTTTTGTGTCTGGTAATACCACAAGAGTGGGACCCACAAGTACCACATTGACAGTGACATGCCGCACGAGTGGAACATCATCAACGTTGCTTTACAACCCGCACGGGTGGAACGTCAAATATAAACAAGAGCAAATTAATAACATGAACGCCTTCACATAACTTGCTTATAATCACAAGTTTATCTAAATTACTTTTTTTTTTTTTTTTTAAAATAATGTTTCCTGTAAGACTTTTTTTTAAGTTGTCTGATTCATATATAAACTATATTATTTTTTCTATAAGCAAAAACTGAGTTACGAAGGGAAAAGAGTCGGTTTAGGAATTTATCAACAGGTTAATATTATAAAATATTTTTTATTTAAATATATTTTCTTCATTTTCACATAAAACAGCTAATATTCTCTCCAAAATTATTTTTGTTACGCTTTCAACCTGTAAATAATAATAATAATAATAATAATAATAATAATAATAATAATAACCTAACTTTTTTGGAATGACTTTAGATTTAACAAACCTTTTATTTTCTACCATTTTTTTATTTTGATTTATACTTCTTTTGTTTCTCTTAGACTGTTGCAACTAGTTTATTTTAGAACTTTTTTATTTTGATGTGTTTGACAAGTCAAAAAATAGTTTATAAGTTAGTTTTTTAAAAAACTATTTAGATAAAAAAAATTAGAAGATTTTAAAAAAAATTCAAATATACCCCTTAATTAATTATAGAAACACATTCTCTTAAATGTTTTTTTATGTAATTTTATATAATTCAGCAAGCTTTTCAGCTAGTTTTACCAAACATTATTTTTTATCAGCTAACTTTTCAACTATCAGCTACCTTTTTATTTAACAACTAGATTTTTAACTATCAATTAACTTTTCAGCTAACAGCTAACTTTTCAGCTAATACATCAAACATAGTCTTACTACCAACTCTTGGTTCTTGGTGATTGTCAACATTATTTTTTTAAGGAAGACTTAGATTGTATTTTGAACAATGAAAAATATAATTGTGTTGGCAAAATGTTAATCAAATCTATTTGCATGAGGCTAAATGGTAAATGGTATGGTGATTTTTTGTCTATAAAAAAAGTATGTCATATAGGTGTTACGTAAATTTTATCATTTTCATATTTTTTTTTTCATGTTACTAGGATATGGTGATGGTTTTGTCTATGAATTTTTTTATTTGATATTAAAATTATATGAACTCCCAAAAAACAAAAAAAAAAACACATTAATATTAATTAAAAACAACATGAAATTAAAAATTACATTTTAGAAAACCTAAAAAAAATATAACATGAAATTAAAAGTTACATTAAACAACCTAAAAAAATAACATGAAATTAAAAATTACATTAAAAACCTAGAAATAAGAATAACATGACATTGAAATTTCATTTACATTGTAGATTATATGTTTCTCGAATCGACGTTTTGATCGCCTTAACCACTTCTTGATCTTTAGAGTCAAGGTATCTCATGTTTTGCATTACCAATGAATATTCTATTATTCGAATTTCCCTTTTATTTTTGGTTGAACTTCTTGTACAGGTTCAGAATCATAAGAATTTTCGCTTTAGGGCGTTAAAGGCGTTTGGCATTGCAATTGGATTGAGTTTTGGTTGGGATGTTGTTGGTGGCGGGGTGAGATTGGAATTGGAATTATTATGGCATTTGGACTTGTGAACACTAACTAGTAACACCATCTACAAACATTTGGTTTTGAGAGTAAATTGATGGATCGATTTGTGGCTGGTAAGTTAGTGGTGATGACGGAGCGTGACCGAAGATTGCAATTGGGTTGGAAGAGTTGGGAGTACTTTGGTTTTTTAGAAAAGAATTTCAGAACGTCCTTGCATTGCAATAAAAAATTGAAATTAGAATAAAATTTAGACCTAACATGTAGTTTAACATATGAGAAAAAAAAATTGAAAATAAGTCATTTTGCAAACCCTAAGAGTTAATGGAGTCAGGCAGGGAAGGTAGGCGATTTGGCTAAGATTTCTCCTATTTGGCTCTCCAGCATCGGCAGAAACACCATCCTCACTATCTCGGTAGCGGGAAAGGGGTTTCAGACAGGTTCTTGACCCGAATTGGGTTCGGTGTAAAGAAAGAAAGGGGGAGGCGGCTTGAACGGGTTTGTCAGAAACACAATTGCCTCCGCCAACGACGGTTCCCTCCATCCTAATAAGGACATTGCTAAATGTTTTTATTTTGCAAGGAAAAAGTTATGAGAAATTAGACTAAACTAGTAATCTATACACACCACACATGTAATTTAATTAATATACAAGATGAAAAACCCAAGACACTGGGAACGAAGAATTTTGCAAATCCCTAAAATCATGTTTTTGAAATGTCATTATTTTCTGGGAAAAAAAATGGTTGGAAAGATAACATAATAACTAAGTTGTATCTTTTTATAATTAGAAAAGTAACAGAAAGAATAAATGGACATTGGACAACAATAAACAAACCCAGCCCTATCATTAACAAGCATTGTGGCCCATTCTGATGCACGATAGATCGTTATATTGTTACAATTTTCATCGCGCGCGCACACACACGACGTCGTAATCAACCAATTTCCAAAAAAACAACCAAATAAAAAATTACAACATTAACATTAGACAAGACCATAGGCATAGGTCACTCATGTCGCTTATAATCGACTTCACTCAACACAAAATAAGCAAAGATGTGCGACTGGTCAAAAGCCCCACTTCGCACGTGGGA